AACAAATTTATTTAAAAAAAAAACGCTCGATTTGACATCCTCGTCCGCTCCTCCTGTAGTTGAGACAATGCTCCCTAGATAAGTGAATGAAGTAGCCTCTTTCAAATCCCTCCCGTTGATGGTGATTGACGTTGGATGTTGTTGCTGTTGTTGTTGGTTGGTTATTTTCATAACCTCCGTCTTGTCTATGTTCACCTGGAGTCCTGTCTTCGCCGGCTGCTTCTTCGACCAGTTTGTCGGTTTTCGCTTGCAAGTCTTCGATTGTGTGTGACATCAAACATAAATCATCCACGCGCGAAATCCAGGTCTTCTGGGTTCTTCACGTCTGTCTATCCAGGATATTCCTGTCTTCTCGTTTCCCACTGTCTGACGCATAATCCAATGAGTCCACCATAATTAGGAATATCATTGGTGATAATAAGCACCCTTGTCTGACTCCTGTGTTTACTCCAAACGCCTCGTTGAGTTTTCCGTTGTGGATCACTTGACATGCGCCGTTATCGTACAGCTGTTGAATAAGGTTGATGAATATTTGGGGTACGCCATAGTACTCGAGTAATTTCCAAATTACTTATATATATATATATATATAATTACCATACGGTTGTTGGAGTCTGTTATCAGAAGTAACTCGCATTAGGCAATCCTGTGTAAAACATGCGACGTTACTAATACTACTTTAAGTCTCAATTTCGAGAAAGCCCTATCCTTTACGTATTGAATTACTAAATTTATCTATTACTTGCATCATTAAATTCAAATGTATTCTGTGGGCTTGTGTCAGCTGCTCATGTTTATTCCTCCATAAAGGGCTGGCCTTTTTTAATTTGAAACACGATCTTCAACTGACAATTTTTCAAGAGACTAACCATAAGCCAGACAAAAATTTATCAGCGGTTTATGCATTATACCCGGAAGTCCTGCAATATCAAGAATAAGTATGGGAAACATTTAATTGGCATGTAATCATTTGCGATATATTGGTCTACCAAAAGTATGACACTGGAAACTTGGAGAAAATAGAAATGTATCCTACTAGTTTAGCAATTCGAATGTCGCCACAAATACATAAACTTCATCTGCCATTTGCTAACTTGTGGCCTTATTCGCTTATCAACCAAAGAACGTGTGCTTATGAGACAATGCCATTGAAACTGTAAGACACACAACAACTATTCGTTTCATGTTAGACTGTATACAGTCGGGAATACTGAGGTTAGGCGAGAAAGGAAATCCAATCAACGAGTTAGCTAGAGCGTGTGTTAGTCCATATTTATCACACACTGAACAAGTTTGTTTCCTTTCTTACCTTCCGAGCCTCTAATTTTCAGTAGCAGTTATGTTATTATATGGAGTAGGGCTGTTAGTCTCATGTCTGAGTATCTTTCGCCCGCTTACCATCGGCTAGTAAACTAGATTAGGCTTACCATTGTCTTGTCCGGGAGTCGAACCCTGACGATTTACGTGCCTTGCAAAACTGAACCTTTGACGCCGTGTGAATCTGCTTTTAGTGCAATAAATGTCAGACAGTTTCGTTCTTACTTATTAGATAAGACAGCTTTTTGAAAGCGGTGAAAGACGTTCTATGTGATTTAATACGGAACTAATAGGTAATTAACAAAAAAGGATGATGGAAACAAAGGGATGGAGAATAAGGTATAAAACTAGAAAGCCTCTGGGAATCACCGTTCCATTGAATAAGTTATTTTCACATCTGAATTAGTTTAGAATCCGATTCGTCATTTGCATATTACACAGGTTGAAATGAAAGTTTACCCGTTTTGTTTTCACAAACTAAGATTATTCAGATCAAAGTATGTGTGATCTGCTTAATAGTATAAATGTCAACGAAGAAAGCAAGCGAAAAAGCAAGAAGACATATACTGATCATGTCGACTAGTAGTGAACGCTACATTAGTTTATTGTCTGTGTACTTTTTCCAGTATGTGTCATATTTTATGATCAATGAATTTATTTGATATATATATGTCAGCATATCTATCCTATTTTTGGAGCTGAAAACTTATTCGTTACCGACTGATTTAATCAAAAGTTGGTTTTGTCAAGGCAGTGATGATTCATATAGAACATGGTATTTTTAGAATATAAATCAGTGATAGTGATTTGTCAATACGATGACAAGATTGTGAAAGTAGTCATAATAATATTAATAATAACAAGGATTAAAAAAGATGTAGCGATTTTTGATAACAAGAATAATAAAAAGTGGCGTGATTATACAAATGTTCAGATAAAGACAAAGCTGTTTATTTACTTCTCTTACAATCTGATTGTAGATATTTTTGGTTTTATATATTATGTCTATCTAAATATTTGTTTGTATAACCATGACATTTTTCATTATTCTTCTCATCACAAATCGATCCATTTCTCATCTTTATTATTAATAGAATCGTTAGTAGTATTATTATGACTATTTGCACAAATTGTAGGCACAACCATATCATCCTATTGATAAATCGCCATAATTGCCTTAAATTTGTAAAGTTATGTATTTTAGAGTAAGATCTGATAAGAGCTAATTGATAACAATATTATTCGTGTACATATGTTGTTCTAAATTCTACTGTATTTTTAGACTATTAACTATGATATACATTGCTTTCGACTAAATATTGTCTTTACGAGTGGATCACAGATTGATATCAGTCAGGGAACCATTGAAAACCAGGGAGTATTGGACAGCTGTTTCATCCTAGTTTGAGAATCATCGTCAGTACGCACCCACTGAAGTTCGAACCCCAGAGCCTAAAATATTGGCTACTAGTGCTCCGCAAAGACAGATGTAGGACAAGATTATCTGATATCACCATTGCCCTTCCTAATTGTAGGAGAATGGATCATGCAGTTAAACGAGGGAAGTGAGACGATGGGTGTACGTTGAACCAACAAAAAGATCCTGGAAGATACGGTTTTGGGGGATGATTTGTCTCCCGTGGCACATGCACTCTAAGATTTACAGGCGGAAACCAACAAGTTGACAGCAGATGCAACAAAGGGAGAACTTCAGGTGTACATAGAGAAGACAGAGGTGATGAAGATACTTAGCCAACAACCATCACTGGGAGAAATCTTATATCGTCTCTTCCACTTACGTCGAGAGTATCGTCTCGACCATAGATGGCGATGTCAAAAGCACGATGAGGAAAGTACAAATGACCTTTGTTACTCTGAAATCAGTGTGGGAATCTGTTATGCTAAGCAGCAAGGTCCGCATTTTCAACACCAAAGAAGAGTCAGTGCTTCTATTAATATAAGAATAGAACTTGGTTGAAGCATTTAAGTGACACCCCCTACAAAGCAGGCCTTCCAGTGGAACTAAAATGGGAGCCGACCGGATGGACGTCTGATTGTGACATAGAGATTATGCGAAGAGAAAATGAAAGCTGATGTGCAGTCATGGAGCCGACTGAAATTGGTGGTACAGAACCGAGTGCAATAGAAGTGTGCCGCTGAAATCCTGCGTCCCACTCAGCAAGAAAAAAACAAATAATATCAGCGAAAACCACAGGTATACACCAACTTCAGTCAACTTTGGTGTCCGCAGTCTGGACGTTGCGGATGGAGATTACAGTTTTCCGGTGAGTGAAGTTTTCCCTACACCTGGGAAACCTCACATCTCCAAGTTGTCCAAACATCGCTGTCACCGATGAATTGTTATCATCACTAGTAAGTAATTCCGGGGTTTGACATCACCTGTTTAGACAGACTAGAGATCATCTTTCAACCCTTGATGTTACCATATTACGACATATCCGACGAATGGCTTTCTAGTCGTTCGCAGTCTGCCAGCTTTTCGACTGGATGGAATGAGCCTATGACGTAGCCTTGTTGTTTCAGGTGGTGTACCAAGACGCCACGGTTACCATACAAGGAATAATGGGACTCAGTGGCTCGAGATGTTAGCAATTAGAACGCAGAAACGAAACCAACGGCGAGAATTTTACAATTTTTCTCTTTTAGAAAGTAACACAATATAATAAAAACTCTTGATAAACATACAATTTTGTCTTCATGATTTACAATATTCCTCTTTTGCTCATGCTGTTGTTTTGTTATCTGGTGTGACTTATGTCTTGTGCCAAACATTGTATCTACTTTTTATTTAAAATGACAAGTAACTTCTACATTCTAACCAAGCATACCAGAAGTCAACCACGATAAATTCAAAATAATAGCAATATCCTCTTTTTATCTAAGCATACTTCTGAAATATACCCTAGCTCTTCCAATTCAATGAAGAAAACCAGAAAGATATTATTTTTTACAAGTAAAAAATCCATTTCCAGCACATTAGTAGACATTTAAGTGAACCATCATAGAAGAATACTTACTGCAGAAAGGGTATACATAAATATCGAACAAAAACTATCAAATTTTATGTTTATTTGTGTTTTCTTCATAATCCATAACTTACTACCGGACACACAGCCATATATATATATATATATACCCTTCTGTTCGTCTTAACTGTAAGAAGGATTATGTTTACAGTGTATTGCTGCACCCATATAAGTATGAAAATTGGGCACTGTGGTATAGTATAACTCCATTATGGATAAGATTTTATTTTGATAAATCAGTGTTGTACAGTAAAATTAACTGTATTAATATTACTGTACAACACTGTGTGATTTATCAAAATAAAATCTTATCCATAATGGAGTTATTGCACTCATACATTGCATGAAAATATGCGTTGAATTTCTTTTTGAAAATCTATGAAATAAGTAAACAAAATGAGATTTCAATTTTTTATAGTAACAAAAGGAAGGAACAAAAAATATGAAACTGAATGAATGTTAGAAAAAGACACTTCTATGAAGTAACAAAATCATTTTTTGTTGATGTGCAGATTGTCAAAAAAAGGCGAGAGAAATCAACGCACGGGTTGTCTAGATGAATCCAAGTAATACACGGAAAAACACGCCAAGATATGTAGAGAAGAATAAAGAATAACTGTTTATCGAGATACAAGTTCAAGGTTGAGTAGACGGTTGTCCAGGTAGATATTGTCCTTGGCATTCATTACCACCAGTGGTACCACTACCCATATTGTGGGGCAACAGAGGTACAGGAGTGTAGGCTGGATTTGGAGGCATTGGCATCGGAGCGTAACCACCATAGTAAGAATACATTGGTGGGTAGGGAGCCATACCTAAAACATAGAAAAAAACAATCTACAGTAGCAGTTTGCTGAGACACTACAAATTTCTCATCTTCATTCACTTGTCCCGTATTTTAGTTCCTAAAAAAGGTGACATTTTCTGTCTGGTAATCTAAAAATTACTGACTCAAGGACTCAGTTTTCAACCGGTGGGTAACGGGATTGATTCTTCCGTCCATCTATTTCAGCATAGGACACTGGGTGCTATCATCAGCCCTAATACTACAAGTGTGGCTGTAATTCTGGTGTATGAAAAATCTGTTCTCGGTAATTGAGCTCAGACAAAAACTATGCAAGTGCTTTGGATATTCACAGGAAACGAGACATGTGAAAACTCACCAACCTTATTCGTGATCTACTTTCGCCTCATATAACTAAGAAATTCTCATGCTTAGCGGCAATAACAGAAACATATCTAAAAGAAACGAAATACCATAGTTCATCATAAAACATAGATATTATTGAGACTAATAACGATTAGGCTAAGCCTAATGTTGTTGAAATCTCTCTTTTTTCACCTTAGTGTACAATATTACTTCTTGAAGTTGCTATGAAAATGCTGAAGTCAGCACTAGATACTTCTACCCATCCTTCTTCGTCGGCTGTTCAATGGTGGAATGCTCGCCACCCCTACATGTGGTCCAGCCAAAGCGCTCTTACATTTCGCCTAGTAAGGCTGGGCATGAGGCCAGTAGCTCCATCCCGTAAAAAACAACACTATCGCTATTGTAAAATTTAAAAACCGGGAGCTCCATATTCCACTCAGAACGCAAGGAAAGACAAAACACCTGTCCCGGACGTCTGGAAAGTTTCACTACCCCTACAACAAAAGGTAATGAAGAAAGAGAGCTACAGAGACCAAGGTCCGAAGTTGTGTAGTTACAAGTGATATGATTATGAACAGTAAATTTCTGTTGAAACGCCATCCGGGAAATGATACTGTTTCATGTATGGTATATGCAACAAACAAATTAAAATGGAATAACATACTGCTACAGTGCCCAAGTTTTACACCGTTACTAGTATGACAAAAAGGTCATATTATTGTCTCGTGAATTGAATTGCGCAATTAAAAGTGACAGAAGTATGTCTTACCATATGGTGCTGGTGGACCCATCATAGGATCTAAAAAACATTGCGAAAAAAATATAGATTTCTTTCAATTACAACGACACACACAAAATTAACAAATAAGTGAATAACCAAACTAGTTTGATGAAACACACTCATTCATATAAAGTATAATTATATTTCAGTAGTTTACACACAATGATAAGTTTTGTTATTGGTAATATTTCATTCATGCCATTGATTATTTTGGTGATCTGATAGCTGGCTTTTCCCCGTGTGGCTTCCTCTTTGTTGTCGGACAGAACTGATTTTCTCAGTGTCTGTTGACCGCAGATTTATGATTCTTTTAAAATTGTGCATTTTTCAATCGAATCCATAGCTGCCTGCACGGATAGAGATGGAAGAATGGATATTATAGATTTTGGCAGCCGGTTTATGCTCATGGATGAGAAGATGAACACGATGTCCACTTTGACCAGTGTAATGTTTCTCGGTTACTGGAACATAATCTTGTAGATAATGTCGATTTTGTCCTTCTTACCGTTGCGTTATTTTGCTTGAAATAGTATAGATCAAAGTGATTTTGTTGATTTATGAGTGACATCTATTCTAAGGAGTTTTAATACTCTTGCAATGAAGATGCCAGCACTGAATATGTCGACAACAATGAAAAGGTTCGCAAATTAACCACCCAACAAATCATTCAATTGAACTTATAAATATTCCCCATCATTTCTATACATACAAATCCAAAACTGTCATCATAAACATTCATGTAGAGTGAATATATCAGCTAGAGCGCTTAGTAAAGCGTGTGACTACCATCATTTCGAAAATGTTTGCAAACCCAAGTTTACAAAGTACAGCATGAATGTTTCTACGACATCTCACAATATTACCTTTTGCTTCATTGAAAATACTTGTTGGTGAAACAGCACACGCGCAAACTACGTATAGATTATGAAATACAAGTGTGAACTGGAAAAGAGAAATATAAACCTCATGCTACAGGTCAAGCATATTTTGAACGTAATGAAGGGAAGATGAAACAGAAAGTCAGTTATCAGATAATTTACCAGCAAGTAAGCAGTGTTGACATAACAGAACTAAAAGAAATGATCATCTGACACCAATAATCACACAATTACACACTAATTCATGAAGCATATCGTTTTAAAAGTCATACGGAAAACAACTTACATCCTTGAGGTGCCCATGCCTGTCCAGGCATATGATACTGTGCATTGACCATACCACCTACAGGTGTTGGCATTGGAACTGGTTGTGAGGGGGCTGGGTTAACATGATTATTATAACTCGGTTCAGGTCGGGCAGGAGGCACTGGATAGAAATTATCAAAATAAAACCAAAACCGTCAATTAGTTTAAGAGAAAGGGTAGTTGCATAGCTTTAGAGAGAATCGTCGCTGCACTGGGCAGACAACTGATTACTGTGAAGTTGGAAAGCACAAAGCGACTAAAAGCGTCCGGTGCTGAGACCAAGGTGATTTAAGCACTGGATGACCATATCGGTCGTGGGCCGTGGTCATCAGATGTATGCTACAATCTGTTCACAGTAAAGAGCCGAATCTAGACAGAGACAAAGAGCTGAATCACTTCATACCACGTCAATGCTCTATAGCTACTTGGAGGACTCGTACACGTCGAATCAAATTTCTTAGTAAATTACATAAACCGTGATACAATTTACAAAAAAGATCAATCACTGACGTGATTAATACATAAAAAACAAAAGAAAAGCAAGATTAACTTTGAATTTACCGCACGGTTTTGGCAATGGCTGATGATCGGAAACGCGAACTCGGCTTAAATTAGCTGTAATATCAGACATTAATTCGTTCTTTTCTGTAGTACGAGCAGCACAAAAATCTTCAATCTTCACATGTAGAAGTAAAAGAACGTATAGGGTTATGAAGGCAACAGGTTAATTTTTAATTTAATTAGTCATAAAAATTAATTGGTTTGCAAAATTAATGAATGAATTTCAAAGAAATAGTTATTACTCACCACTGGCATGTCTCATCAACATATAATTTTACCGATCTGGTTTCATATTCTGACGTGATTAAAATCTAAGATTTCGGCTCCTACGGCCAGAACGTTTCACAAGCGAAGTAACTGCGTAACTTAACTATCACAAGCAATCATTCACAAACACTGATTGCGTTAGGGGTTGACGAAGCCAGCTTGGTAGCTGAAATTCGGGTGTGTTTGCTGAGTTTCAACTTCACCCCCCTCCGCACATACACATACTGTGATAAAAAAAATCAAGTGCATAAATGGAAGAGTTATACCCCTACAGGAGAGATTGCTACGTATTTTCGAAGTATACAGATGCGAAACATAATAATGGGCTCAGACTGCGCTCTCCATAGCTTATATAATCGTGATTACAACACCTGCACGAAATTGCAGAAAATTAACAATGCTAAGAACAGTTAAAACGAAATCCTAATGATATTTTACATTCATGAACCATATCACCGTCCACAGAATGGTAGTAGCCTTGATGAACGAATTGTCCAAACAGGAGCTGAAAACAGTAATCATTATTAGTCATCAATTCATTTTTCACAAGACACACAGGTGAACCGGTCACTTCGATGAGAAGTCTATATTATCCAGTGATAATTTTATTATACGTTGCAAGATAAATCGCAAGTCAACACGAGATGGTGAAATTAAACAGTGGCAATCGTCTTCAGTATGCATGACCCTGAAAATCATTTAGGCTAATGTAATCATAACCGGAAGGATGACAATGGAAAGTCAATCACCAAAGAGGTGAAGCAAATGAAACACTGGGCTGAACACTTCAAAAGACTTCTAAACCGAACGCCACCTACAACGCGCCCAATAATACCAACAACGGAAGCAGAACTACCAGTCAACATCAACCCCACCCCCGATGAGAACAGAAGTCCTGAAGGCAATCAAGATGCTAAAAGCTGGGAAAGCAACAGCACCAGGCGGAATCCCCACAGAAGCATTGAAAATGGACCCAGAGACAACAGCGGACTTGATGACACCACTACTGGAGAAGATGTGGAAAGAGGGCAAGGTACCTGAGGATTGGAAGAAAGGATACTTATTCAAACCACCGAAGGAAGGAGACTTAAGTCAATGCAGGAACTGGCGCGGAATTATGCTCCTGTCTATCCCAAGCAAATCACTAAGCCGCATGCTGGAGAAAATTTAAAAAAACCTAGACGAAAAACTTCGACCGGAACAGGCTGGATTCAGGAGGAACAAGTCATGTATTGATCAAATCGCCACTCTACGAATCATCATTGAACAAAGCTTGGAATGGCAGTCACCTCTCTATCTCAACTTCATCAACTTTGAAAAGGCCTTCGACAGCGTCGATCGAGAGGTCATTTGGCAACTACTTCGCTACTACGGGGTCCCATCGACAATTATACATCTCATCCAACAGTTATACGACAATGCTGCACGCCAAGTAATCCACAACGGGAAACTTACGGAAGCCTTCGAAGTGAGGACGGGAGTGAGGCAAGGCTGTCTATTACCGCCAATGATCTTACTGATTGCAGTAGACTGGATAATGCGAAAGACAACGGGCAATGAGGAAACAGGCATAAAATGGACTCACACAAAAAGAACTTAGTGGATCTGGACTTCGCCGATGATATAAGTCTGATTTCCCACAAACCGGAAGATATGCAAGTGAAAAGCAACAAGTTGGCAGAAGAAGCATCAAAGATAGGACTTCGGGTGAACATAGATAAAACAGAGGTGATGAAGACTCCTGGCCAACAGCAACAACAACAGACAACAATCAGCATAAATGGAAGGAGTCTGAAAGAAGCAACTTCCTTTACCTACTTGGGAAGCATCGTTTCAACTTCAGACGGAGCTAACGAGGATAGCAAAACGAGGATCGGGAAAGCAAGACAAGCTTTCATTTCTCTCAAGTCCGTGTGGAGGTCAACAGCACTCAGTATGAAAAATAAGATCCGGATTTTCAACATTTACTAGCAACAAGTGTAATGTGAAGTCAGAGCTACTTTATAAATCAGAGACTTGGCGCGTCATGAAGAGCAGTTCGAACAAACTACAGACCTTCATCAACACCTTTCTACGCTAAATACTCAAGATCAGATGACCAGAAAAGATCAGCGACAGTGATAGATCTCTGGGAGCAAACGAACCAGGAACCAATTGTGCAACATATACGCAGGAAGAAATGGAGGTGGAAACCATCAAGTGACATCACAAGACAAGCCCTCGAGTGGAACCCGAATGGGAAGCGGCGAGTTAGTTGGTAGTCAATGCGAGGTTGACATGGAGGAGGTCAAGCAAAGAGGAGATGAAAACAGACGTGGAGCCAGGTGAAAACTTTAGCAGAGAACCAAACGCAATGGAGACATGCAGCTGAAGCCCCATGTTCCTCTAGGAATTAAAGAAAATAATAATAACCGGAAGGTCTTGGGTTAGAACCCCTGTGAGTGTGTACTGCCGATGATTCACAAACTAGGATAAAACAGCTGTCCATTAATTATAAAAACAATAACACTAATATTAATGGCTTTACTGCAAACAACATTTCTGGAACAGTATAAAAAGATAGAGTATAACGATGAACGTTAGTGGTAATCCAAGATTTGAGCAGGGGTATCACGTATTATATAACCCAGTGGTTGATAAAATGTTTACCATGAAAATAGTAAGTGGAAGTTGTGACCTCTGTTCCAAATTACTAAGCATCACTATCTAATATTTTTTACAAAGACATCAGCAACTTACGATTGCTTACCTTGGATTGTGTATTTAAACATATTTCAGTGAGTTCAGCATAAAATTTCATAGCATCACGAACTGCTTCTTGAAGCGCTGAATATTCATCAGCGGCAAGATTAAGCATCGTCAGAAGACCTTTATTCTTTGAAGTACTACTGTCTGATCCACCATAAAACATATCTGCTTTCACTTGCAATTGACTCAGTAGATTGTCTTGTTTATTTAAATTTTCTCGAACAGATTCACGAACAGATGCCATTTTCTCGTTAAGCACATCGGAAGGCATATCCAAATCGATTATCTCACCATGTTCACGATAGTGAGTTAGAAGCTTTTTGGCTGTAAAGCATTTAAAAAAGAGCAAATGTGGAGAGAGAAATTGTATGCAGCTGTTAGTGTACCACATATAGTACGAAAAAACTCGGAAAAGGAATGTCTCTTCGATCACTCACGTGTTTTCTTCTTAAGAAATACATAGAAGTTTTTTGAAAAAAGCGAAATAATATACCAAAAGTGGATTAAGTTCTCTTACAACAGGTGTGTGGAATATGATAAATTGTTTGAAAAAGCAAAGCTGAGAACAGTTTTGGTTTAACTAACAGGTCAAAAAGAAAGTTGTGACATCAAGGTACAGTACAGACTACAGTGGATAAAACACATGATTCCGTAACGCACAATTCAGTACTTAATTAAGCAATCAACCTAGATATTGTTTTCCATTTGGTCTATTGTGCGTCAACAGTTCAATGGTATAATGCTTGCCACGTGATTCGGATTCGATTCCCGCCAACGCAGTCATAAACCTTACCTGGAAAATATGGAAGGTTGGGTGTGAGCTTAGCAAATGCATCTTGTAAAAACAACAACGCTACTGAAACTTGAAAGTCGTATGCTCCCACTAGGAATGCAAAGGAATGAAAACTGATACGGCATAAACAATAGATAGGATTAATTTCATAAATAAGATAATAATACTGTTGTGATGAAAAATAACTGGTTTCATAAATTTAAAATACGAATTGTTATATGAACCTACCAAAATCAGGTGGAAAATCGATTACTTTTAAACGTTCCATTATTTCACTTCTTTCGGTTTTAACTACTTCTAGTTTATCACATAACTGGTTTAACTCCGATCGTAACGCCTCATTATTACCACTAGCATTTGTTTCTGAGGAGTTAACCTCTGAGCGAACTGCAGCTATAAGCGCATCTTCTGGTTTGCTAAGTAATTCCAGATGATATTTATGCTTTTCAAATCGTTCTATGAGAGATGCATCAGTTTTTGTAGTCTAAAACAGAAGGAGAAAAAGACAGAACAAAAAAATGAATACAAAGGCTTCAACGGACCTTATAACCATTTACTTATATAGATTTGAAAGAATAATCTCAGAGGTAGATATATACACTGCCATGATACGCAGATTTTCCGTGTAACGTGGCTTTACTTATTCCAATGGTACAATAATAGGAACTACAACATTCCTCACACAAGAGAATCTTTTCTTAGGGCTAAGATGCTGTCTGGATGCACAGACAGTTGTTTTAGGGGAATAACTTTACTAGTTACCCTTAAAGCCTTTGCAAGACTGAACTATTCATAATAGGTGAATTGTGTTTAAGAAAAATGGGATTACGCCGATCAAAACGGAATTTTTAGATGACACGATTATGCGGGAGTGTTAGTACATGGTAAAAGTATCATAAGGAATTTCATTTCCATTCACCGCGTCAATATTAGATATTGTAAACAGCTGTGTAGATAACCTTGATTCGGCTGACGAAGACCATTGATTGATGTGAACAGTCCTGCACTACTCATATAAATTGGTATTATACATCGGCTTGCTTTTTTACATGCTTCCTTGATGTTGGTCAGCAGTATCAAGCTGATAGCTGTAATCTGAATATCTCAGGTTTCTAGCTGTCACCGTGGTGAATCCTCACCATATCGAACCGTCCAACTTCCTAAATAACAACTTGGATTCCATACAAATGGTTTCTCCACTATACTATTTAAACGGTGACACCCCATTGAGCTCCAAAAACTTTGTGAACAAAACAGGAATCAAACCCACTGATCCACTTGCTTAGAATTCAAGTACGCAAATAAATCCATCACAATCTTACTTTAAGAAGGCGAGTTTCAGGCGCTTAACACCCTCGTACACTCAATTAAACAGTGATGAAATCCCGAACTAGATTCACACGCTACAATCCAAAATGCAACAGCGGGCACTAAGGCGGGACCTGAATTCAGATGCTTCTTATGACTTCTCGACACCACTAACAAATAAAAGGATAAAAGAAAATGATTATATGTTTCCAGACCGTAGGTGTTACGAACTTCCTGGAATAATTTGAGCTCCGAGTCAGATTGATTCATTATAAATTATTTCAATTAATCCCAGCGTGTTAAGAAAATCAAAACAAGATTTTTCTGAACGTTTCGACGTGTAAGCCTCAGCTTCTTCAGCAGATTTATTCGGGTTATCTGCTGAAGAAGCTGAGGCTTACACGTCGAAACGTTCAGAAAAATCTTGTTTTGATTTTCTTAACACGCTGGGATTAATTGAAATAATTTATAATAAAAGAAATTGAAACTGAAGAAATTAATTTGGCACTTCAAATCATAACCGATGTTACGAAATAACATATTTATATACAGACATCCGATTAACGAACTTGTGTATGACTTATTTATGGTGATTTCCTAGAACTGGATTAGAAACTACGATCCCATTTGAAAGTTTTGTAGATTTATTAGTAGTAAAAGTTCTACTGTAACTAGAGAAGGCAAGACACGGAAGCCAAAGGTATATTTGCATTGATCGAACCACTGTTTATATATCTACCGTTTTTTAATTTTCGTTAACCAATCACTGAGTGTGTGATTTTGGTTTACATTAAACGACATGAAATACAATGTTCCAATATACATAGTATTCTGTTGCTAATGCAGTATTGAACTGTGGGAATATGCGAGAATCATATTCCGTTGGAACACATTGTCTGTATCACACAACCACACTACGTTTAGTGACCTAAGCTTTTGTGCAAAGAAACTGTATTTTGCAATCAATTGTATACATCATATGTTGTACCCAAGTGATTCACGGGTGGAATATTAATCAACCACCCATGTGGTTAGGGTCTGATTCCCGGTTGATGTACCCTTAAACCTCGTCTAGCCAGTGGTAAGCGCGGAGGAGTTAAGATTGAATATGAGGCTAGTAATCTCACCTTGTAAAAGCAATACAAGCACTAGTGAAACTTCAAAGCTTAAAGATTGAAGCCTTAATTTTTATTCAGAACTTAAAGGAATGGAAGAAAAACATCTCACAGTGACAGAACAGCAGTCATTATTGATATAAGGATAAAACTTGAGCACTGTGGTAGAGTATAACTCTATTATAGATAAAATTTTATCCATAATGGAGTAAAAACAATAGGCACTTGTTTTCTTTTTTTCAACCAGAAGAATAACTGTGAATAAATAACTACACTGTTGAACAATTCATTACTTACTTGTTCAAGTAAACTCAAACATTTCTGTATATCAGAACGCCATGCTAAAGTCAATTCATTTGACGGTTTCCGTGTCCAACGTTCGCCATATTGTCCTCGTAAATTGTTATCGGATTTTTCTTCATCATCCAATGACGCTTTTTCCTACAATAAAGGCAATAATATAAAACTGGTTTAATTAGACTATGATAAGAAAGTAGAAATCGAAATGACATCTGACTTCCATACGGTTGTTAAACGGTCAACTCTTGAAATGTTTGTAAATGCAGAACGAGTGGAACTCTGGCTTTGCAACGATATGCGTATCATTCGTGTAGTAACTAATTAGGAAGCATAAAATATGACGCCTATTCTCTATAAAGAAGAATGGCTTGTTTCTGATTTTTTTTTCGGCCATGAGTACACATTCTATTCATTAGAAAGTACTTCAATAAACTTTTAAGGTGCATCTCTCTTTCCTCTTATTTTTCAATAAACTGGCAGGTGCACTGGTGAGCAGTATTATTCTGTTGAGTTCTGAGTGGTACATACGTCTTTAGCAGAACACCTTCATTTCCCTCTGTTCTCTGAAGCAGTCTTTCGCTAGATATACGATTGCCCATAAGCTTGCATTACCACCTCACACAATCTCCCCCGTATCACCCCCATACGCCAAACTCGTAATTTCGCTATTCGGGTTCCACTCGGCAACCCTGTACGTGATGTCACTCAACAGTCTTCTATGCGCATGTCCAATCGATCCCCTTTTTTCTGGACTGGTGAATACAAGGATATCAATATACTAAAATATGTAACTAAAAGAATGAGACTAGCAAAACTGCCGACTGTTTTAGATTAAATTATATTAAAAGGATTTGAGGCCTCATGAAAATGAAGGATTTTAAAGTTATCGATCATGTAAAAACCAATACAAAACTCTACTATTATAAGCCAAAAAACATTCGTAAAATCTTACAGCTGCTATAATCTCCTTATTACGTTGAACACATTCAGGTATGGACATCAGTTGTTCGTATAACTTATCCGCTCCACCGTCTCGACGTATACAGGCAGCTTTGGATAAAAGTGTGTCGGGAATCATGCCTGATCCAACAACTTGTAATGCTGCTGGGAGGTTGTATGATGCCATTATTCTGAAAATGCCGAAATCAAGAGTATACGTGCATTAAAAATACGAAAAAGAAGAGACAATGACAAGAACAAACCTCTCGAATCGCATGATTTATAGAATCGCTCAACAATATAGGAAAAAAATTAGTTTCGTTTGAAATTTATCAGAAGTGTATGCCGCAGAGGTCTGATGCCACTAAATCCAAATTCGTTAAGCTCCAGAGAGGTCATTACTTTGTCGCTGAACTACAAACAAGTGGAATCGCCCAAAGGAAAGTAAACTATAAGCTATAAGACTAACTGAGTGGTGTAGTGAAACGAAAGAGAGCAACTCCATAACTGTACGAATGTACTAAGCTATGAAGCACATTTTGTGATGCCAACAATGATGCTATATGGTTGTCTAAAAATCGGTATGAACAGCTGCAAACATAAACGTAACCGAATTCCACATGTATCTAAAGAACGACTTACAAAACAAGCTCCAAACACCGAAGAAACTAATGATATCTGTGGTGAAAGTGGATTCTGAATGAACAATATTTGTTGATAGGATCACAATGGCAACGATGCATATCTTCAGCGGAGAGGTGGTCAGTCCAAGACGTGGTGGCGTGGAATGAAGGATTTTTGTGCTAGATTAGCATCGGTTGGTGTGTCACAACTCCCTGGTTGGGGTCCGCGAGATAGCTCAAATCGATGGCTCGAAACGTTATCGGATATGGCCAAGAATCGTAATCAATGGCGAACGTGTTGCAATTTCCGTCTCTCTTCCCTTCCCGATGATAGTTAACGAATACAGTTTGAACTTGTTAAGCATAACTGTTTTCCTTCCAGATGAAGTTCTTTATCCGTTCTCTACTTATATATATTTTTTTGATCTATGTTGTTTTATTATTATTGTGTGGCGCATCCTTCTTGGTGCCATATTGTACCAAGTTTTTTATGCGTTTAAATAAATAAATATCTTCAGCCTATTAGTGAACGCTTTTTTATATCGAACATTAAATGTAGGCATAACCTGAAGTTCGTATAGATATTCACATGTAAAATGTCAACCACTAAATACTGGGGATACTACAACAATCGGATACACTTACTCATTCAATTTAGTAGAAGCTTCTCGTAGCCTACACACCTCTCCATCGACTAGAGATGCGCGAACGCCTTTAGCAGTGTTAAGAGCCTCCGTAACAGCGAATGGGAGTAGATCTACAAAATAATCCCTTGTTGATCCTGATAGAGGGAAAGTAAGTGGAGACTTTTTAATAACTTCGACACCTTGAACAAGAGAAAGACCCGTTCTAGCTGGTATCTTCTCATGATATATATGATCATTATCTTTGATTGCAACTGATTCTTCATGCTTGAATTGTTCCACCAGGTTTTTACGCTGAAAATAACTGCTACGACTAACACTTTTGATCAATTCACAAGCCCACTACAAAATTGAAATTAAATGAAATACAAGTTTAAAGGAAAATTTCTGCTTGACCATATATGTCCAATCAAGTTCACTTTTAACGGTTTGAAAAAATTCTGTCTAGAAAGTAATTATTTTACATTTAAAGGGAGTTTATATAGACAGACAAATGGTGTCACTATGGGTTCACCAGTCTCCCCAATAGTCGCCGACCTTTTCATGAATAAATTAGAAAATAACATCTTTTCAAGCATACTCACTCCTAAAATATGGTTAGGATATGTGGATGATACTTTTGTAGTACTAAAACGAGATCTACACAATTCATTCCTGGAGAAAATTAACTGTGTATCTCCCAGAATCCAGTTCACTTCAGAAGCAGAATCGGACGTCGGTGAACTGCCATTTCTAGACTGCCTAGTTAAGAAAAAGGAAAACAGACATTTTAGTACATCCATATTCAAGAAGAAAACCCACTCCAATAAATATTTAGACTTCAAACCATCACAACCTATCAGCGCGAAGATTTCAGTTGTTTCCAGTCTTCTTGGACGAGCACACTCTCTGATAACGGATGAGGAAGAAAAAGAAGAAATATCAAACATTACTGGAACTCTCAAGCAAAACAACTGCCCAAGGAACTTCACCAACAAAATCAACACAGACATTAAGTATGGCCGAAAACACGGACATCAACAGTCGTCATTCCATATAGAGCAGAGAGGTCAGACGATACCAGAAGAGTACTTAATCAGCTGGACATTAGAGTTTTCTTCAAAACATAAGACACACACTTCAAAGCAACCTTGTCTCTATAAAAGACCAAATTCCGAAAGATTCTCTATCTAATTGTGTCTATAAAATAAAAGGCTTGGAATGTGATGCGATCTACATCAGACAAACATCTCGAAAAATCAAAATCAGAAGAAATGAACACCGTAGAGCATCTCTTCGACCACCGAGAAATCCAGTTGAACTAGACAAACTTGAAAAATCATCAGCCATAGGTGGTGGTCTACACGCTATAGAATCAGGCCACAAAATTGATTTTGACAATATTGAAATAAGTTAGAGAACCACTGGAAAACTGATGTCAGCTCATGATTAAATCCTCCATGCAATCAAACAAAATCCCTACAACAAACCAATACTTAATATTGAAATAATCTAGAAAAACTTCAGAAATTACAAAGAACGCCTTATATCAGAAGCACTTCATATCAAGTGGAATCCAAATTGCCTGAATAGGAATGATGGACTAACAGAATCCGACCTGGTTACAACACCCCCTCCCCCATGAAGTGACGAAATCAATACGAATGTGATAAACAAGTTCACTATGTAAATACACACTACTTTTATAGTTTTACACACTGATCAAATCCAACAATCTACACTTGATTTTGTTATCTTTACCAGTTGACCAACTTGACAACGAAAAACGACCCCAGACAGACGAATGATGACCAAGTTAGTAAACTTTATTTTGATATCATAACAGGTGTATTATTACCTTTGTTATTTGGTTTAGTGATCTTCATTGTTATTTTGACTTTCAATATGTCCCTTTAACTTGACCTAAGTCTATTTTCTCACCCCTTAACTCTTTGTTATATATATGCTGATATTTTGTAAATTCCGGTTTAATAATACTTTGATAGAGCTATTAGCACTAAAAAGCGAAACGTCAGTAAAAACAATATCGTTTTGTTTTATATTCATTGGGAAATACAAAAACCTTTATTATTTTGCGTGACCATTTGACGAATGTATGTATTTCGCAGTTAACATAGGAGTGTCCTTGAAACTTACTGTTGAACAACATAAACTTAGTTGGAATCTCAGAGGCTAGTTAGACGTATAATAAACACACGCTTGTGTAAAACAGCTATTTATGAAAACAGACATTCACTATGAATGTCGACAAAATATGACAGTACGAATCTAAGCTATTTATATATACAACCGATGCATATTTGTCAATACGATATTTCACACTTTGTAAAAAGAAATGATAATGAATGCATCAACTGTATGTTCAGCCTTCACTCAAATATTTGTGTACATTACATTTCAACATCTCCTGTATGAACTTATTATATATACAGTTTACATTGAAAAAAACTCCATTGCAAATACAAGTATGAGGAAACCTTCGTGACTGAATAACCACAAACCAGAATATTTCCTCAATGCTAACTTTTTAAAAGGTTCTTGTTTTTTAAATATTCAGAGTGGTAATGTAAACTTGGTGTGGATCTCTAGGGATAGCTCAACAAAAGACAGTATAGGAAATGGTCTCCTTTCAACTGTATACGTTATCCTGCTCCCTAAATTACAGAAACACAGGAGTTAGTGGGCACAAAAGCACCAATGATACAAGCCGTGTTACTGAGTCATTTAAGCATATGGGGTAATAAAAAAAACTATACCTTCGACACTTATTATGATGTATCTTAACAGCCCGAAAATGTCCCTCATAATTTTAGCCACAGAAAGTAGATGACTGCAGTACTACTTTCTGTAGAAAGTAAGCGCTGGTTTCCTCTGTAACATGATCTGTTTTTTCATTGTTATATTCTTTAAAAACATTTCTACAGTCACATAAAATACAACTCAAAAAAACATTCGATGTCTGGATTAACCCATTGATTTGTTCTTCATCAATTGCGAGGGAGCTGGAATACTGCCCGGACGCTCGAATCTAAATAGGTAGTTTCAAAGGACAAATTTCCGAGCCTCAAACTTGAAATGTGATCCAGGAGGTAGTGAACTGGCGTCACGAGCTGCGTTTCTATCATAGACAGGCCTAAATAAATCTTCTAGTGGTCCTCCAATTGAAAGCCTATTGAAAAAGGGAGCAGTGTGAACGGACTAATTAGGTTTATTAGCCGTAAAGCCATGATTGAAACAATCAATCAGATATTGGTTATTTATCTGTTTTAAATTTCTGCTGATGTGTAAAGGATAATTTACTGTTGTCGCAGTTGTCTCAGTTAAATTTGACTTCCGTGTCTACTTCAATGTGGGGAATATTTTCGAGTGGTCAGTTGACTAGTGTCGTGACTGAAGATTCATTGTAGACAAGTTAAACAACAACCAATAAAACACACACCGTTACAACAGTTCCCATAATTTCTGACAACCAAAACAGGTGTGTGAGCTATTTGTTCTTTCGGATTCTGCAACCCATGTGCACCTTGGACTTCCATCCAGGGTTTTCCAGCTTCTCTAGATCAAACTCTACGTTCGGTGACAACCAGTGAACATTAGCTAGACTTATACGACGCTATATGAATAGTGAGTAAAGCCTCTTGGGACTTAGCAGAACGTCCTACTGAAACATTACTTCGTTCCCACGAGTTCCTTGACCCCCTTCGATCCAGTCTAACGGATAGCGAGTATAATAACCTATATATCGGAATAACCAGATAACCTTCTACATATGTTCATGACATAAACATCAGCAATAAACTGCGTTTGAAACATTATTCAGTTAATATCACTGTATCATTCATTGTATGCCGGAATAAAAATAAATTATTCCACTATAGACTTGTACTTTATCATAATGGCCAAATAGAACAACAACCTGAAAATCTCAGCATCTTAATTACACTCCTATAAACACCGAGCATTGAATCAAATACCGAGCAAGTGGCACCGTATTTCGCAAATATAATACGAGCAAACTAGTTGGCTTTAAATCATTAACGGTCGATATGTCATAACCATGTACTACGTCCCCATTCAAAGCTTTCCATTTTTGTGGCACGAAAATTCGTATAAGTATATAAAATTGAGTATACCCCCAGTTATCTGCTTGCTTGTTGTATGGTTTTTATTGCAAGCAGATAAAAGTGATAAAACAAGTCCACGAGACAGACATCAACTTACTGATAATCGAGCAAGCTGTTCGCCATATTGTTTGTTTTCTCCACAAGCCTTGGATTGATAATATTGGGTTAATGCCTCATATAAACCTTTTTTCATAGCTAACACTCCTGACCAATCCTAAGATAAATATAGCAAAAGTAAAACCATATATTACCTTAGGGATAATATTTTTAGCACCACTTGAACAATTCGAAACGCATTCTTCATAAAGAGTAGTCAAAGTTGATGATATTCTTGCAAGAATGCCAGGCTTTTTCTCATCTAAAATTAAAAAATAAAATTACCGAACTGATAAATTATTACCTTTCTCAGCTTTGCAAAATACACATTCATAGGCCTGAGCAAACATAAGGTTACTGAAAAATGTCAGTGCTACTGAAGTCATGTCTGGAAGCGGGTCTTTCATGCCTGATGATGTATCTGAGGCCAAATAATTAAAAGTACTGGAAGCAATCTGCATAAAAGATAATTAATAACATGATATGTAAATAAACATACAAATACGAGAAATAAAATTAATTTTTTTAAATACTGACGTCATTTTATTTTTATTTTTCTGATTTCACAGTGAAACATATGGTTTCAAGCCTAAGCTTTGAAGTTTCGGTAGCAGTGGTTTCAGCTTTGCGAGTTGGGGTTGCTGGCCTCAAGCCCAATGTTTGATCTTCGCCGAGCCTACTAACACCTTAGTGAGATTTAGGAGTGTGTCGGCCGAGGACCGAAACATAGAACATTAGTTGGGGATAAAATCAAAAAACTCAAGTAGATGACAATGAAATAATGGCGTCCTTTGACATCACAGCATTATATACTTCAATTAGTCCAAAACTAGTCACAGAAACTATGCAACAACTAATCTATAGAGACGCGGACATGAAAACGCGATGTTCAAATTGGATGGAACCCATAGAATTACGTCTTACAACATACTTCCAACTCAATAAACAAATATGCGAATATTTTCAAATATTGGTTTTTGTAGGGGTTTTTGTTTGATTGCATGTCAACTCATGATTGAATCCTCCATGCAATCAAATATACGAATAGATAAAATGAATACCAATGGGATCGCCCAAATCACGATTAATACCTGAAGCCGTTATGCCAAGATTTATACTTATATCAATAATACATATGGTCTTCCTACTAGGAAGCTTATCAATAAACTCACACGACTTTGTCAAACAGAAGCAAGGTTCACAAACCATCGGATTTTTAACAGTTGATGTTTAAAAAATTATATAATTCCAAAATAATTACGCATACGTACTCCAATTACTTCAAGAAAAATAACAACAGCAGCTGAACATGTCAGTAGATTATGTCTAAGAAAAACTATATCGAATTACTGTGAAACTAAGTAATATACAAAATGAAATCGGAAAAACCAAACACAAATTCAAATGTATGGTCAATGACAAAGATTATGTAATTGTTGTTGAAACATCCGAAAAAGCTAGAGAATAAGCATTAGGAAAATCAAAAACCACACAAATGAAAAAATTCAATGGGGGAGAATACCTACAATCCGTCCTCAAAAATAATGGATATCCTCACAATTTCATCAAAAAATGTCTCAGCTCTAGTCATAACACCAACAACAAGCCAACACCAAAGATCACAAGAAAGCTCATCCGACCATATAAAAAAATACCTCTGAAATAACAGCTAGAATGTTAAGACCGTTTAAATAGATATAGAAAGCAAGCCAGTCAGCACAATCACTTCATTCGATATTTTACAAACCAAAAGAACCCAAAGAAAAAAGTTAAAATTAATACCACTTACAAAATAAACCGTATCAACTGCAATAAACATTACATCGGTTAAAGTGGGCGTCCCCTTCGACTCAGAATCCAAGAACACAAATTGGCTGTGAAAAGGCGTGATACATAATCTTTCACACCGATGCATGCAAATAATTACGGACACCAATTTGATTGGAATAATGTAGAAATTTTAAATAGAAGAAACACTAAAAGTGCCAGGGAATTTCTAGAGGCCTGGTACTCAATCGGATTAGCAACCACCAAACACATTATCATAGACCGAATCTACCAGCTAATAAAAAGTAGATCACATAACAAAAAAGTCCGAATTCTAATTCGTAAAAATGACCAACAGAGACGCTAATTAACAACCAGCCACGACGGTAGTTACTGGGAGATATAATTACATCATTCATGGAGAATTTAAATGGATTCATTTTATAATAAAACCTGAGCTGAAGATGTCTAGAAGGATGACGAAAGTTTCGCAATTAAATCAATCAGCTCGGAGAAGACAATTAATTCATTATCATAGACCTGAGCTACAAATCTTTCCCGTTATTTAGCAGGTTGTAGTGTTGGAAGTTGTTCAAACCCTGAAACGTTTAGTGATTAAACCTTTCAACCTCAAACTCAGCATACAATCCAACCTTGGGATTGCAAATATACCTCAAATAATCTGAATTCAACACTTTTCACCAGAAGTGTTGACATACTTAGCATTTTAAAAATCATGCATGTAAATAAATACTTATGCTGTAATCAGAAAATTGATTCATATGCACTGAGAACAAAGTCTTTTCAAACAGACACTACTTTGAAATACGACAGCTTTCCAAATGCCTTCACACAGGTTATTCGGTAGTTTTTGTAATATTACTCAAAATACTATAAAGGCCTTGAAAAGTTCCCCGATCACATGATATATATATATATATATATATATATATATATATGATGGGAGCAACAAGGCTGCTTAAGAAGAAAATGAGATTAAGGTGAGTATTTAAATGATAGCACACTGAAAACTACTGTTTAAATAAGTTACACAACAGTGACTTAGGATATCAAAACACTAGTGTACCACACAAACAGCAAAAACCTTGACTTGATTCCCTACATGTCAAATCAGTACAGAGACAGGATATTCTACAACGAGAAATTGAAATGGTATTAGAAACTCTGGTATAACGTCATACAAAAACAAAGAGAATTTTAAGGAGATAAACGTAGATGATATTATGATTCAGATGTTGTAGATACATTAGGAGTGCATGGATGCTAGTACCATCGCTCTTAATGTATGTCTGCCATCGACTGATTCCGACAATTTCGACCACATCACCTAGGAAGTCTATAATTCCTTAAAAACTTCATTTCATTATAGAGGGGCCTGATTTATTGTTAGTTAGATGCATGTCAGTTAACCGGTACCGAGCTGCGCGCTAATACCCAGCTGCCTGAGCTAAACTGGGCGAAGCGAGATCCAAACTCGGGACCCATTGGACGAAAGTTGAGTGCTCAAGCCAATTAGTAATATGATACTGATTGCATTGAGTACTTTTTACAACTGGAGGTTTGGAACCTGTTCATAAGTGATAGGAATTGCGTACGTCTGCAATGAAATATTTATTCTAATTCAGTCAGTAGGAAGGAACTTAGAAAATAACACGTAGTTAAATAGCTAGTACTTAAAACAAACATAAGTGTTATGTACTCGTCGCTAAGTTATTGTTATGGACTGGTCGAGAATCTAATAGTCCTGACGCGAGAAGGCGGAAATCAGAAGACCACTAGGTTTGCGATGATACTTCTATTGTCCAAACACAAGGAGACGAAAATAAATGGTCTCACACCAAAGTGGTAAGTAAGTAAAGTAGTTGTAAAGTAAAGTCGTTTACACAAATTGTGAATGCGAATATATATACATAATTCAGACAAGCGTGGGAAAAATCATTGGACAGTCTTAACATGAATGGCTAATTATAATGGAGTGTCGATCCAATTATACATAGCGAATATAGCAGACATGCCAACAAACATATATGGATATATGTCACCAAGCAATGGACTGTCAACAAACACTCATATTATATATAATATAATAAAGGAAAACATTATAAAGGAAACAAAGAGGCAAAACGAAAAAAAAAAGAGAACAACACACACACACAATAATATATATTGGAAATATAAGTTGCTTTAAAATCTTTTTCAACTTAACAGAACACAGAGAAAAGTAAAGTAGTAGCGAGAACCTTAAAAGACTTCCAGAAGCTACAAAGCTCTATTTAACAGATACGAAATCTTAAATGGTTTAACACATGGCTAAATGAATAAAATGCGAATAGCTCGGCTAACATTGCTATACTTTTAATAAGAATACTCCAAACAACATTGTAATAATATAAAGGGGGGATACTTAAAAATCTTGTCGATTGGTCTCCTGATAAATACAGATAACTTTCACACTTAAGCGCGACTAAAACTCCCTATACTCATTATTATCAAAAGTCATGACTCCAGATTCGAGTTATCAGCTACTTACAAGTGCCTATGTATAATTAGGTCACCGCATCCACTGAATTACAATTATTCGATAATTTCAACTAAAAAATAAGTAACACGCTTAACACATAAGTGACTATAACTTCTGGATAGCGAAACGAGAGTATTCATGCAACAGAAAAGCTGGTGTGCAATTCACCGTCAACGTACTCCCAGATCTCGCCTAGTTTACTAGCTAATAGAAAACGCAAACAAGGAAGGTTAGGTGTGAGGTTAGCAGCCCCGCCCTGCAAACAGAATCCCACCAGTTACCGAAGCTTTAGGCCTATAAAGCTATGTCCTATTAAGAACTCATGGGATGGAAAAAGAAAAGCTGTGAAGAGAAATACCACTAGGTGTCTTTGAGAAATTTCGATCATATTCAACAACCAGTCACTTATTTTCCAAGTCTTTTCTGAACGTACTTAAATCAATTTATTGTAAAGCATTTTTCTCAGCATCAAATTGACCTTTACGTAAATCTTATAACTAGGAGATTCAGTCAACATAATTGGTATAACTGCTGGCGATGGATGGCTATGACGGTACAATTTTATTCACAAGAAGCAACACTTGAATCGCTTCTTCAACATATTGTGGAGATGTGGCTCTCTGACTTAAGCATTCGGTTTTCGGCCAATAGGTAATGGATTCGAGTCCCACTTGACATTCTTCAGCCTGAGCAACTGGGTATTATCATCAGGTTTCACACGATAAGTGGCTTATAGCCTGAGACATGAAATATCTATTCAACGTAAATGTGTTCAAATAAACATTTAACAGGTTAGTCTAGACCAGATGAATAAAAATATCACTCTTATGACCCGAACCTTAAAAGACTTCAGAGCTTGTTGAAGTGAATTTTCACAATTGGGACGGCAAGACTCTCCGACTTGGCTGTGAGCTGCGCCATAACAGAAGAGGACATTTGCAGCTTCAAACCTCAAGGAGCTCTCTTCTGGAAGGAAAAGGTGTAATAAACAATGTGAAGTTTACTTTTGGTAGACTTCCCAGTAATATCACTCCACTTGAAATCGATTCGGGAACCAGTAGTCAAATGCAAACGCCCTTCCAGTTGGTCTAATGCGTCATGATACCTATTGCAATAAATTCAAAAACAGGAACAATTATTAGACCAATATTACGACTAGTACCGTTTTGTTTTTGGCTATATGTTGCCAATTACATTGTCACATGCACTATATATATATATATATATATATATATATATATATATATATATATATATATATATATAGAGAGAGAGAGAGAGAGAGAGACAGACAGACAGACAGAGAGGTGTCATGGCGCCGCCGAACGCCTGATAGTTGTGTTAAGGAATTAGTATACGAATGACTGAGTGTGATCTGAGGAGTCACCAAGTACAGCTTAACTAAAATCAATGATTATACTGTAGTTTAAACATAATCATCACTCTCATGAATGGACCTTATGAGAACGCTTACGTTGTTCTCACTATTGCTCCAACCCATTTCCATCTTATGTTATAGGCACTATTATATATAAGTACTTACTGTTGTCCATATAGTGACCAGTTCCGATAACTTATTTAACTTCATATGTGTCGTAAGAAAACAAACTCGGCAGAATTATGTAAGCTTCAAGGAAAATGTAAGTTCTTAAGATAATTTAGAATGTTTGTAGATCAACAGAATACCTTAAATAGTGCGGTTTTATCACTAGATATGTTGGTTCATTCAATTACCTAGGAAATTATTGGTATAAGATCTAAAAAGTAGGGTAGGATGGATGGGTAAATAGACATCACAGCAAAACCTGACATTACTGAACAGCAGTCCAAGTATTCAGACCTCACATTAACAAGCTCATCTAGAGATAAATCTATAAAACACACGATTTCAGAAACACTATTTAGTCCTGTGGACGCATATGTCTTGTGATAGAATTCTCCATTAAAAGTAATATCAAGCTAATTATATAATAAGTTCTGGTATCAGAATCAGCCTATATTGCTGTATACGTTGTATTTCACAAGTATAAAGCCTGGTCTCAGAGATATGAGTAGGATGATAGAAACGGAAAGTGTAAAAAGCTGTTCTAGTTCATGGGCAACATAAAGTTCGGTGTCAGTGAAATGGTCCATAGTAAAACTAAGCTTTTACATCGATAGCTCAACAGCTGAAAGCTAGCCAACAACGCACGTATTGTGTCCGATATCCGACGGATGCAATCTCATACCTTGCCCGGTTTATTAGCTGGTCGGAAGCGTGGATTAGAAAAGTTGAGTGAGGTTAGGAACCCTACCCCTTAAAAACACCACTATCGCTACTGAAACTTCAAACCTTCAGCTTACAACCCAGTGTTCCATTCGGAACGCACAGTGAAAAGCTTAAGTCTATCAAGAACTTTCACAAATGCCTGGAACGTTAAGAGGAGCACTTCATAAAGTATCTTAACTGATCAACAGGTCTGGTACGGCGCTTCATCATCCCTCCATGTAACGAGACAAGAACTTCAACTAGCAAAATGTCGACCCAGGCAGCCCACATCTCGTCTTTGCTGTAGATGTAATAGTGACGAAAATGAATGAAATTCCAAGGTAAAAAGCAACTGAGTCATCAACATCGATCTTCACATTACGATACTGAAGAGACGTGACTCCATGGACACAGACATCATGAGATGCTAGGAATCAGAGAGTACTTGGCAAGACGAACTCTCCGAACTGTTTATCATAATCAGTGGCTAGTGTAAGGCCAGTACCACCAAGGGCTCTCATGAAGTGGGAGACAATGTCGAGGACTATGACAAGAGAACTTACAACTGTATGCTGTTACGTACTCACAAACAACGCGGACCAAGAAGAGGAATTCTGCTGACTATTTCAAGGAGTAACAAATGAGACCCAAACCAGATGACATCAAAACTTTAATTGGTGGTGTTAATACAGGTTGAGCTTACCGCGGTGAAGAAATAAAAACCAGTGACTAAACTACAGCAGCCCAAAATGAAACTACCTTGTAAAGACCCTAACAAATACCCATCGACCAATAAGATGCGTCAGTATTAGAAGAGCGTAGATTTAAGAAACGTATATATATGTAATCCCATGATAAAAAGTTATTATATATGATGAGGTCCTTGTACATGTTCCACAATAACCTTCCAATTTTCTTTGGGAGTCCTAACAATTAGCTTCATGCAGTTTCAGCGAAAAATCCGAGACAACTGAGAATCGTATTTCTTGGCTCACCCACCTTTTTGATCCTATATGTAGGTGACTATAAACTTTCGATGGAATGTGTCTCATCGAAAGGATTAACGAAATCTTCAGCATGATTGACCGCGTTGTGAATACAGCCCCGAGACGGCAGCTGGATGCACGTTCTCCCCCTTCCAATGATCCTATTGTCTAAGTAGTACTTAAATACTAGATATGGATGAAATTTTCTACGTAATCCGTGTACATCACCCATAATTTCCTCTATCCACAATGGAATCCTTTCACTGGCTGCTCAAGGTCATCATTTAGTGGTTTCGTTTCGAAAAACCAGCTGCAATAGTTAAGAGCCACCAAACCCTATTTTCCACTCAGGATGCGACGTAACATTACGTTACTGTTGGCAACAATATATCGAAGAGGTATGAAATGATAAGCAATTGGGTTTTACTCAAAAAATCGAGAGTATCTCGAGAAAATTAGGGGACTAGGCAGAAAAAATTTGCAAAATATTCGATTTCGGGGAAATCTTAAGGATTTTCGGGAAATCAAATGCTTATCTAGAGAAACTTGAGGGAGATATGACGACGAGGGCTCTAAAGCTTTTCAATAGAATACATATGGGATCTCAACTAATTTTTACTTATGGCAATAATTCTCAGCAAATGGCTATAAGCTATAGACAGGGGTACAAAGACGCAATCAGCTAAAGAATTATATTCATATATTTACTTACACTGCTATTTTTTCGACAGCAGGATTATAGTTATCTCCTTTTACGCATACAGAATTTCTCAACGTCGCGAATTCTCCCAGAGAACTGCTGCAAGACTCTGCAACACTTGCACCATACTGCGTAGCTATCAATTGTTTCAAAGGGTTGAATAAGTCACAGGAACTTGACTTTTTTAAAGGTACAACAAGAAAATTCATAATCCGCGGCTGGTTCTGGGAAGTGCCAATAGAATTGTAGTGTACACTGAACCTTTGAACTTTTGTTTGAACTCACTCAACCACTTTACGCATGTATTCATCTTTTGAGCTGTGACTGTTCTCTACACTCTTTGGTTCTCTCTCTCTCGTTGTGCTTTCAATCAGCGCACTCGCCAAACCTACCACCAATCAAGGCAGCAGATAAGTTGTATAACCCGTTTATTTACCAAGTTTCTTATCTCATTTGTGCAAAATATAACTCTGTTCCAAACACACTTGTCATCTCAAGTCTTATTATCTTGATCTCGTCCGTCAGTACTTGCACGTTAGGCAGAGTACAGCTAAGGTCATAAAGCGGTGAAGTTTTTTGTAAGAGTGGTTATTTTGAGGTCTACATTAAGTCAAGTCCAACTCTTGCAGAACTATCAGGCCAAGGTCAAACCGCTTGAATGTTAACAGTAGATAGCTCCACTAAGTGGAGAAAAAGCTACTATTAGGTTAAAACTGTAGTGATTGACAATTTCTCTCTCTGTTTTGTTTAAATATTGACTGTCGCTTGTTAATAAATTTCTTATATGAATTGAATAATAATTCCGCCAAATACAAATTCCAGAATTCCTCCCTCTCTGTGTTTTGGTTGAATTCTTGTAATTCGTTCATCTCGAAATAATAATACTACTCGTACAAAAAAATTACAACATTTTGGCGTCGCGACGGGACTAAATAACCTTGGAAAGTTTCCTATAAGTGGTTCACCGCCGGAAATTGCTGATTATCTTGAATGCATCGATGAATGGTGTATTTCATAGAATGTTCGGGATGACAAAATTCCGGCTCATTTCATTACTGCTATTGGGCTAGATGAGTATAGCCTAGTGAAGACTCTGTCGTTTCCAGATCAACCCATTTCTCTGCCAAATGACAAGCTCTGTGAACTTCTGATAGATCACTTCCACACAAATACTTTTGAGACACGAGAGAGGGCTTAATTAAACGAAGTAGTTCGTGCTCCCAACCAGAAGATTAGAGACTTCATTCTTCAACTTCAAATACAGACTTCAAAGTGCAACTTTGGAGATCAGCTGCATACTCAAATACGTGATCGTCTAATTGCTGGAATCAATATTCCTAATTTAGAGAAGGAGTTAATTCAGATTCTTTCCTGTACCTTTCAAAGTGCTAAAGATTTATGTATTACATATGAAGTTGCCAACAGTGAATACTCTGCTCCCACTACGTCAGTATCTGATGTCACGCTTACCAAAGTCGATAACACAAAGCGTCATAGAAAGAAATCCAAACTGTCGTCCACATATAATGGAATGCAGCGAGAGAGCAAAAACATTAAACCGTGTTTATCCTGTGGAAAGTTACATCTACGAAGCACTTGCCGTTTTCAGGATGCTAAGTGTCATATATGTGGTAAAGTTGGACACATCAAGTATGTTTACAGAAGTTCGAATACTTACATTGTCAATGTAGTTGAAGATTGAACGATCAATTTATGGTTGTTTGCTCAAAACCAACTTCCCTATATTTTCGCGGGGGCATCAATACACCAGTCATCGTCTCATCAGTCGCTGTTCAGAAAGAACCTAGAAAAAACTGTCAAAAGTAATATTGTGATTTATTATTGTAATATTTCTTCATAGACCTTAGTCTGTAATGCTAACAATGCTGATCATATGTTGGTGTCAGAATAAAGAATTCTCGACTCGGCAATCTGTGTTCCGGTTTTCGCCTTCGTTAGTACTAAGTGTTTCTGATAACCTTTGAGCGACAGAGAGAGGCCCGGTGCAGCAAGAGCTGGGCATTAACGGTTGGTGACAGTTTCCTACATTTTGGATGATCTCCGTCCGTCTTTCCTGGTGCCGGCCAAGTCTTATTTGAACAAGCGTTATCTGAAACTTTCTGGAATTTTGGCTACGATCAATGTTCCCTGGATCAAAGGAGGGGCAGAGCGTCTTGGAAGCAAACAGGAAAGTAAGTCATGTTGACTTGTCTGCTACTTGTAACGATGTGTCTGATGTTAAGCATGACGCGGATGATGTTACTGTTTCGCAGTCTAGGGATAATAGGAATATCAAACTCCCTAAATTTGAACCACGGTGTTTCGATGGAAACCCAGCTGATTATTCACAGTTTGTAAAGGGGTTCGAAATCATATTGAGTGGTTTTTATTAAATGATGATATGAGGTTAATGTATTTGATGAAGTATTGCACTGGAGTTGCTTCAAGAGCTATGCAGCGCTATAAGTTGCTGCCCCCTAACGAAGGATGCTCTGACGCTATGAACATATTGCGTCGAAGGTTTGAAAACAAAACACGTAGATCAGCGAAGAGTCTCTTTTCGGCGAATTCATTTTCTTAGCTGTACAATCGCAAATATATATGCATTGTTTTGTATGTATGTGTACATTAAGTTTGTCAAACAAAGTTACAATTGGTTAAGGTTACTTTTAACTAAACAAGTGAAAGTTGGTAATACAGGTCAAGAAAATTAAGTGCTAATGAAACTAGGGTAGTAAAAAAATGATGAGTTGTCACAAACAGTTGTAATAATAATAGTGAGTTTTACTCAGGATGCACATAGAAACAAAGTAGATAATACGAAACTATGTAAGAGATCTAAGTGGATACAAGAATTATAATTGCTTAAGGTTATTTTAACTAAACAGGTAAAGGTTGGTAATATAAGTCAAGACCATTAAGTGCTAGGGTAGTAACAAAGGTGATGAGTTGTCACAAACAGTTGTTAAAAGAAGTTATGCAATAATAATATGAATAGTTTGATGAGTGAGTTTTACTCAGGATGCACATAGAAACAAAGTAGATAATACGAAACTATGTAAGAGATTTAAGTGAATACAAGAATTATAAGCAATTAAGGAACAGGCGAAGAAACAAAATTAAGTCATCAAAATAAAATAAAAGCTCAAAACAAATCAAAACATTGTTACCATGAGAGTAGAAGTGGTTGAGTAATCTTCTTTTGTATGCACAGCTCCGGTTTTTCCATGTGAATGGCCAGAGCTTCAGCGATGCAAAGGAGACGAAACCGTATTGCCTTTGATATGTTATTCTTGACTCTGTAGATTACTTTGAAGGAGGCGTTCGTTGAAATGCAATGATCAGTGTTGACCAGGTGTTCAATTATCGCACTCCTTATTGCACCAGTATTGCCTTTTCGCAACCATGCTGGATAATGTTCTTGAATTCTCTTGGACAGGATGCGCGTCGAACGACCGATGTACCTGGCTCCACAGCAGCAGGTGAACTGGTATATGCACATAGAAGTGGCCAGATGCGGGATCTTGTCCTTGAGGCTTCTGCAGATCAGTGGGCGACTGGAGAACACTATTCGTAGCGTTGCTGCAAAGAACGTTCTTCTCAGAGATGATGTGATCCTTCTCTTGAGAATATCGCTTGCTAAATCTCCCTTGAAATCCAAATTCATGTAGATTTTCTTTTTAGGCACAGTTAAAGTTTCGTTTTTCCGAATTATTGGTTTCATATTTTTGTCGATAAATCTTATTGGGTATCCATTTTGGATGAATATTTCTCTCAGAATATCTAATTCTGTTTCCAGAACGTCGGGACTACAGATGCGTCGGATGCGGGTAGCAAGTGATTTAATTAAGTTTCGCTTTTGTTGAATGGGCACCCAGCTATAGAAGCTTGTTAGTTGACCATTCCACGTAGGTTTTCTATGGATTGATCTTCTTAGGCTCCCATCAGCTCTTCTTGTCAGTTCCACATCAAGAAACGGAATTTTTGACTCGTTTTCCATTTCAAGAGTGAATTTTATTGCTGGATGGCAATTGTTAAATGTCTTCAGCAGCAGATTGGGGTCGTTGTTGTTGTCACAAATAATGAAAATGTCATCCACGTATCTTTTATACAGTCGCAAATTGTCGATGCTTGGCTTTAGTGAACCTCTCTCGAGGCTTGCCACGAAGCAATCTGATAGTAGTGGACCCAACGGAGATCCCATTGCAATACCATCCTTTTGTCTGTAGATGGTGTCGTTGAATGTGAACTGGACGTTCAGAGTGCATCTCAATAATAGTTCTTTCAAGTATGTTGTCGGTATTCCAATATCGAGGTGGTTGTCATCTATATATCTGCATATGAAGCAGACCGTTTCTGTGAGTGGGACATTGGTGAAAAGTGACTCGATGTCGAAGGACAGCATAATTTTGTTAGATACATTCGTGTCTTGTATGCACTCGATGAACTGGAAGGTGTCACGGAGCGAGTACGTACATAATTGCTTCCTTACAGGTTCCAGAAAGGTTTGAAAGACGTATTCGAGGCTGACAAAGGTAACGGCAGTCAACTTCAAGATGACTCCAAGGCACTTACTGAGTTTCTAGATAATCTTATGACTTATAAGAATACCTTGATTTCTATGAATTGCATGAGTGACCTCAACTCGAGCTCAGCCCTAGAGATAATAGCAAGACGCCTACCTACTCGGCTGCAAACGAAGTGGGTGAAAATCAGCTCTCGTATAGAGGATGAGGGTATCGAGCCAAGGTTTGATGATATTCTGAGACTGGTGAAGGACGGTGTCAACCAGGCGATGGGCGAATTCGCCAGAATTTTGAATTCTAAGGTAGAACCTAAGGAACCAGTGAATATAAGGAAAGCATTTGTTGTGAAGTCTCAAGACACAGCGAGAAAGGATGAGTGCATTGTTTGCCATAACATGCATCAATTGAGTGATTGTAATCGCTTTATCGCTATGTCACCCGTAGAAAGGTCAAAAATGGCAAAGCAGAAGCGGCTGTGTTTCAGTTGTTTAAAGATTGGGCATACAAAGTTGAATTGTAAGGTGACAAACAAAGGAAGTATTGGTTTAACGGATATCCACCCACCTCTAAGGATAGCAAACGAACCTGGGAATTCGGTTAATTGTAATAGTATCTCTAGACCCCTTGACACCCCACAAAATTTCTTAGGGGTATTACCAGTTAAGGTGAAAGGACCGAAATCT